TTGTGTGTGTGTGTGTGTGTGTGTGTGTGTGTGTGTGTGTGTGTGTGTGCATGTGTGTGTGTATAAAGCCTGTATCGGCAGTTAATTCTATATGTTGCCGTGTTTCCACATGAGCCAATGCTGCCAGAGGGTTCCAAGAATTCCTTTTCAACCACTTATATGACTCAGGCTTCATCCATTCAAGTGACTATAATTTAATTGAATTTTCTTCCACCATCAATTCTCACTCTAATTAGTCCCCACAGTTTAATGGGGATGTAAATAAAGCAGATTTAATTGGCAAAAACAAAAACACTATAAGGGAAGGAAGCGTTTTCTGAGGGTAATATGGATGGATCACAAAAGCTCTTACACCGGCAGAAGAAGCAGAATAACAAGAAGATTTCCTCCACTGAAGAGGACGATGTAAAAAAAAAGAAAAAAAAAAGGGAATTTTCACAAGGAGTTCAAAAACTATGGAAACGAGCTCCAAGTTAAAACGCAGTGTGTGCATTCAGGTGTGAGCCAGTTAGGATCATTTTCAAACATTCCCAAACACTGAGAGAAAAATCATCAATCATGTGAAGCAGCCAATCATTCAGGGATAGAAAGAAAGAGAAAAAGAGGTGCAAAAAAAAAAAATCAATCCATGCTTAGAGTGGGTATAGCTTCCAGACCCATCCTAATTTACTGAGACAGCAATTCTAAATCAGGTTCAAGGTTTGTGTCAGCACCCCGTATCTTGTCAAGCTTCCTCTCCCCAGAAAACCCTGATCCTCAAAGCAGATCTTAAGTTCAAGAACTGGAGCTTCATTGGATACATAAAGCTAAAGTTGAATACAACAGTGTTTGAAGAGCAGAGGAAGAGTTTCTTATTTCATTAAAGCTTGACTAGGAACTCACTTTTACGTTATGTTTCTTGGCTAATCCAAGTAATTGCATGTTTTTCTTCCCCCCCGAGAGGACATTGTGGCACACTGAACAATCAGCCAATTAAAATACTTCTCAGCCATATGTGATGAGACATTATAAGACATGTCAAATCAGTGGATAAATTCTAAACAGCGGCACCAATTCACTTGTGTTTATCATTTTGTGCAGTCGTGTATAGTATTTTTCATATACATGCATAGTCTGCATACCTTTGTCTGCCATTTAAAGTTCAATCACATTTCATTCCAGCCTTTGATTATGCTTTGTTTTCAAACCAACAGCAGGTAACTTGCATAATAGGCGCTTAGTAAAACAAGACTGTTCCCCTAATAGTGCAATGTACACTGTACAGCATTGTCATTATGGCTGACGCAAAAATGGTCAAACAAAACAGATTGCCATCAAAGTGTAACAGGCAGTGTGGAGTTAGTTTTACAGCTGCACCTGGAACAGATATCATGTTGTTCTATTAGATCTGAGACTCTCTTTATCTGCCCTGTCAGAGTCATAATACAACAAAGCAAGAGCTCAAGCATTGTTATATTCAGACTGCCCCTCTGGGTATTGATACATTATGAACACGACTGATTTTAAACTTAAATACACTAATGCAGTTACATAACTTTAATAACCTGACTAGACAACTTTTTTAGGGAGCATGAGAAGAAAGACGTGTCAACTCTTCACTGTCTCCTGCCAGCAATGCACTGACAATGTAAATTGGTTTTACTTTTACTGCCTTACTATTGAGTCCAATACTATGTGCTGTCATGAGAAGCCTGGTTTGTGCAGCAGCAGTCTTGGCAATGAGCACTTCTTGCTCACTGTCTTGGCAGGTGGGGAGGGAGTAGAGCCGGGCGAGTGTATGTGTGTGTGTGTGTGTGTGTGTGTGTGTGTGCGTGTTTGTGTGTGTGTGTGTCATGTCACATTCGGCTCATCTGTCAATGTAGTGGATTATTTCTTGAGAGACCAGAATTGGCTGCCCGGAATCAGGCCGCCATCAATCTTCGGCGGTACAAGCAGGACGCAAAGGAGAAGCAGTGTGGAGCAAAGGCTCATGGGAAGGAGAGCAGGCGCTGCTTCCTGAACAGGTGACGAGGCAGTAAGGCAACTTGTTACTCGATCTCAGCCTGGGCGATGACTACACCGATTTGTCAGAGAAACATTTGAAATAAACAAATGCAACTTGAAACTTTATATCTTCCTTTTGCAGCTCAGTGCTGCAGAAGGCAGACTAGCTAATTTCTAAAGTGTTAAATGCATCAACAGGCTGGAGAATTACATCTGCACCTCACTCAACATGCCCTTCACTTCCCCTCCTCAGATACCCTCACATCATCCCCACGTCTGTTTGTCTTAGTCTTTATTTTTTTGGGATGGCTTGTGAGTTTTTGTACCACTCAGTTTCTCAGACAGTCTGCCGGGCTGCATGCCAAGAAATACAAAAGAAATTTATATCAGGATGTGGTTTCTTGCAATATACCAACCCCCTGTTTCCCTTCAAGACGTATGACTGTACTGAAGACAGTACAGTAGGAGGAAAACAGCTTCACCCATCTTGTCAGCCAGCTATTTTGCAGAAAACGCATCAGAGTCAGCAAACAAACTGCGTATGTGAATCCCATATAAAACACTTTATATGAATCTGCTCATCAGCACAGACAATTCGTATCCTGAGATCCTCATGCGTCATTAACAAAACCATATTACAACTTCGTCTTCTGTGTATCACGCATCTTTTCATCCTCCCTTAGAAACACAGACACCTTATTTGATTACAGGAAAAACAGCCAAGCATGAAAGCCAATAGATTTTCTTCAAGGCAAGACATCTCTCTCCATTTTTTTTTTTTCTTTCTTAGCTACGTCCTACACAGGCATATCTATTTATATCTGAGGGCTCTGGCCTCAATGAAACCGGAGAGCCTCTCAAATTATAAAATCAATTCTAATTCAAATATTCATCATAGCATTTCAATTCTGAGAGAGCAGTTCTGGTTAGATCGGTTAACGCTACTCCATGGATGAGTAAGATTGATGTCGGCTTATTCTTCTTTAAATAAAAAATATGATGTACAGTAAATTGTACAGTCGCAGAGCTGCAGGGAAATAAAAGAAAAACAGATGTGCTCGCTTCCAACGCCTGGTTGTGATGGACACTTATCCCTGGGAAGCCTGCTGATTAAGACGGTAAAAACCCACAACATATCTTAATATTATGATTGTCAGCACCAATTACAGCCGTCATCCATCATGATTTGTTTGAGTTTAAAAGTTTTCTGTAGCGCTGCTGTAAATGACTGTTTACTGCAGTGTGAACGATGTGGACTATAAAATAGCTTCTTCTGATTACATCTTAAAATTTAGTGTTTTGGCTTAAATCAGTCTCTTATATGAAATCCAAGAAGATCAAATCAATGAACTCCGTGTTTATTATCCATCTGAGTTCTCTAACCTTGCATACTCTCAGGCTTGATTGTTCTAAACAGCACAAGTAACCCCACAAGAGCCGTGAAAATGCCACACGATAATGGCCTGAGTGACAAAATGCTGGTCACTGTGGGAGCATGCACCCTCTTCAGCGCTGCAAGCAGTAAGTGTGCGCTTTGAACCGCCTGACAGGAAACCTTACAGAGAACTCTCACCCATAACTATCCCTTGCCTGGATGACTCTTCTAGATATACGGCAAGGGTGGTGCTTGAAGCTGGAGGAGGGAGGGGAGGTTGGGAGGGGGGCTCTTATTTTTCCCCTTCTAGCCCTTTGGGACCACTGCATTATTCAAGAGACACTTACTGAGCCTTGCACTTGCTTGTACATCTTTGGCACCAAGCTCCACTTGCCAACCAGTCAAAAAGAAGGAAAAAAAAACGACAGAAAAACTGGAAGCCAGCTTTTAAGAATTCATTCAGAGCTCTGTGTCGCTCATCCCTCACCCTCTTGTTCCAATTAACGGCAACTCAGATACTTTAGGAACTTTTCCATCTATCATAGCCGGGATTCTCATGTGTCAGCTGTTCCACAGCAAAGAAAGCCAATTCTCTGACATGCTGCTTAAAGCCACCAGTGTTCAACACAAGCATGGAGAATTCAATGCAGGAGTTTCCCCCCCTTTTGCTGTGCATCAATTACTGTATTTTTGCCTTGCAATGTAACTCACACACACACATAAACCAACACACACACACACACACGGGGAACCAAGCAGAAGATAGCATCAATGTTTAACAGCCGCTTCACTTCTGGAGAGAGAGCCTCACTCTCTGTGAGGGTTCAGCATGGGAGTCACACTCATTGTTAAAAGCTTAAAGAAAGCCTTTGCTTTGCTCTAGAAAAAAAATCGTATGCCTTCCCTTTAACACTCCCACATACACAATAAGCATTGCTGGTAAGCTCCTCGATAATCAGAGAATTAAGATCTGCCTTGGCGTCTATCCTCCCCTTTTACCCCTACGGTGCAGAAGGCACCGGGCTTAATTGCCAAACGTTTCCAGTGCAAAAGAGGGAAACATAATTGTCATTTCCATCTAAGCCACAGTGATCAAAGCTCCCTAGGCTACCAGCACAGTAATAGGGATTTTTGCCTACAGCTTGTCCTACTCCAAGCAGTCTCCCAGCAAGACTCAGGGTGTAGTAAAGAATTCTTCACTGCATAGACAATTCATCTCCCTACCAGCTTACTCAGAGTGTTTGAAGAAGATCTTTGTCTAACAGGGTTTTCATGTTCAGATTTAAGCAGCACTGCCAGAGAAACAGAGATAGCAATACAGTCTACAGATGTCTTCTATAAATACCACAAAATGAATATGGAATTTTAGATTTGAGGGTGACTAAATATAAGTAGGTAACCTGCAATTAGAAGCACAATTAGCCGCCTCCCCTTTACTCATCCTGTGTGACTGTGAGCATGGTGAATCATCATGTTACAGTGCAACGCCGTGGCAAATCATTCTGACATACTGCAGCAGTCTCTCTCTGTTGCCTTCAAACAGCCAAAGCAGAGAAGTGCTGCCCATTCCAGAGGGCAGCAGCTCGCACGGTTAACGCCGCGTGTGCTGTGAACCCAAAATGTGAAAAAAACAAACACGTACCCAGGGTGAGGATGTCTGTGCGACCGGGCCGGGCCACATGGTGCTGCTGGATGGTCTGGTAGAGTGTGGCCTGGCACAGCAGCAGGAAGCCCAGGCTAATCCACATGGCCAACAACCAGGACATGGTGAGGCCGGGTCTGCAGGGCGGCACACCGCAGGGGAGGCACAGCAGGGGAAAAAACAGGAACAGAGATGAGTAACAGTACCTAAAATTTTACAACACAAACGTTATGTGTACTGAAACGCACAACACTGAGGAAGCGGAGATGTACTTATTCCACTTGTGATATGCTTATGTTACATAAATATTTATGACGAAAAGTGTACAAGAGATTTCTACTTTATGTATGAAATAAAATAAGGAAAAAAATCAGGATTTAAAAATACCTGCAGAGTACAGACTCTAACAAAAAAACAAGTTTAGCAACATCAGGCTTTCCCATGAAAACTAACAATGAAATGCTATGTCTTATCTATGCTGTTTTTAAAAAAAAACGACATTTCCATGAACATCAGCAGCAACAATGAAGCCAGGATTGTTCTGAAAGGTTTCGAAAAGATTTAATTTAAAAAAAGGAATGGCTGTGTTGCAGTTTTGTTCAGCGACTGCCTAATGGCTGCTGAGGGCCAGCATATGGAGACACGCCTTAGCCCTCTTAGAATAACCATGCTCTCCTCCTTTCCAGGTGTTATTGGAGCTTATCTCCACTCAGAACCTGCGGCGGGAATAAAGAAGCATCACACCATCTCCTTTAAACCAAACCGTGGCAGAGTTTATTAACTTTCCCATAGCTGTCCACACACTACTCAGCAGTTTTAATGAGAATGTTATCTTCAATCCAAATCACTCAGACACTGACTGCAAATGTACATTCACATGTTTCATTTTTCATAGAGGTTGTTACTCGAGTGAATATGATGTAGTAGGTGTGGATCTAATGCTCTGTTTGGTGTTCGATTCTACAATATCTTAATACACAAGAGAATGTGGTGAGCCCCAGGGAGTCTCTTCAATATGAACTTCAAACCCAGGGGACACATTTCAACACATGAATGTTTCAAAAGTGCCATGAAGCAGGTGTGAATGAGTAACTTGTATCCAGAAAGCACCAACGCTACTGCTTGCTTGTTTGCTCCAACTAAACCCTTTTTGTGCTCAGATGTGTAACTGGGATTAGAGCCATTAAGTTACTTCAAAAGGCCATGTGTGTTTTGTGCCCTGTTTAATATTCAGGCAAAAGTAAGCATATAATTATGAACAGACCGTTGTAAATCCCCACCCCTGAACGGAATCCAGACTAATCCGCCGGTTTGATGGAAATGTGAACTGGTCCCCTGGATATGTTTTCCTCCCTTTTTTTTTTTTTTTCTACACCACACAGTGTTTCTGATCGCCGAGCTGATTGAATATTCAGAGGGATCGTTGCGCTCGCGTGGTTAGCTGCATATTGCGCAGAGACTGTGAGCTGCTCCCGGTTATCGGGAGGCATTCTTGCCGAAAATCAAATGTGGTTTCTTACCAGCAGCGTTTTACCAGAGGAGAAGGCGCACAGCAGACATTAAATAAAGCGAACAAGCTTGGGCATCATATCAGACGAAGTTCAGAGGGAAAACAGCTCTCAGGAAAAACAGAACAGAACTCTTGTAGTGGCTGCTGTAGCCTCATTTTCTCAGTAAATATCCGTGTTGTCTTCCTGGCGAAACAGAAAAAAAAAAAACACACCGCAGGCTGTTTACTCTTTGTTTTTGTTCTGTCACGTAAAACGAGAGACGACAGCACCTCTGTGCGTAATTGGAAAGTCCAGCCTGAGAGAGTAAAATGCGGTCCTTAAACAGCAGAACACCTGCAGGAGCATAAATTGCCAAAGCACCTGCACAACGCGCGACGTGATTTTAGAAGATTAGCCTCGGTCTGTTTCTTCCAGCCTTCACTTCGATTTCAAAGACAACTTCAGGGACGACTCGTGGACACACACTGTCACACTAATTAATTTAACCACTCAGGAAAAGGGAATGAGACGCCTCTTCTCTTCCAAACGCACTTTAACTCAGATTCAGTGAACACTTTGACTTTTAGTCTGTCTTTCAGCATATACACACTGCTTACATAAAGAATGGAACTAACTGTACCAATTTTAAACATGTTCGAAAGTCTTGTGTATTTTAATTTTTAGAAGATTTAAATTGGCAAATTCTGTTTTCATTTTGTCACTACTTTCATGCAGAAGAAAAACAGTCATAGTCTGTCATCCTTTCAACAAGCAGTTGTGTCTCCTAAAATTGGGTTGTCCAAGTTAATAAACCCCACCCCATCCCACCCATCATGTCCCCAAAACAGCAGAGGAAGGATTCCTCGAAAGTCCCACACCCTTACCTGAGCAATGTGTTCAGGAGGAAAGGAGCTCAGCCAGAATCACTGCAGACTCACTCCTCTGTCTTAAATACATCCATACTTTGAAGCAAGGGGTTCCCGCCTGAAATTCCGGTCCCAGAAAAGCTTAACAATACACAAAAAAAAAGGGGTGCTGAAATGCTCTTCTTTTCCCTCAACACAGTCTCCTCTGGACCCCTGCTTCTCACTTCCGAGTGCAAACAGTGAGGAGAAAAAACAGCCTGAGGTCTAAGTAACAAACTGGACAGGATGGGAGGCTGATCATGTCACTGCTGTATCTGCCACATGCGATCACAGATCTCTTGCTCTCTGCCTTCCTTCAGCCCGTGTCTCTGCTCCGTCTGCAGAACTCTACTGTTGTGATGACAGGGAGCTAATTTAGCCCCCTTACTTGTCGTCTCCTTCTCACGCATGCGGCGGAAGACTCCAGTGGAATGACTGCTCTGTCTGCTCTTGGCTGCGTCCCCCCATTGAGAAGCTTTGCTGATAGTGTGAGCCTCAGTCCTCTCTCCAGCGCACTAAGTAGAGAGTCTGTGTGAGAGAGCCTGAGCGAATGTGTGAGAGAGCGTGCTTGGGTGTGTGTGAGTGAGAGTGTGTGTGTGTGTGTGTGTGTGTGTATATTACAATGAAGCCCAGCTGGAAAGAGCAAGAGTGAGAGAGAGGGCTGAGAGAGAGAGTCGGATCACATGTCTTAAAGCAAAGACTGCCCACTTCTGCATCAAGACTTCATCAGTAAATTAGGCATGCTTTATTAACCCAGCCCTGTATACATCCCAGGCTCCCATCCACATGTGAGCGCAGCATTCAGCTGACTCTTAGCTGTGTGCATTTGTCAGTTGGAGAGGGTGTGGAGGGGGAGATGACTGAATGTGCCTCTTTTAGTCATCGCCCTGCAGAGTTTGAAGGGTGGGAGAGGAATATGCTCCCAGCACTGCACTTTTAATAGAAGGCAGAGTGCCTCATCAGAGCTCTGCAATCACCATATTATCCACCACGAGCCAGCTGTGCTTTTCTACCTGTTTTTGTGGGGGCTTGTTTGTACTGCCTACCCCCCTTTTTTTTTTTTTTCTTTTTTTTTTTAGCTTTCCCACCACTGAAACAAAACTTGTATCCACAGCAGCTGCATGGCATTGAAGGAAACACAACCATTGTCTTTTGTATGTGTTTGTGTGGGTGTGTTACCCATGTGTGTGTGTTTCCATTGTGACTGAGCCATGCAGGCAGGCAGGCAGGTGAAAGCAGAGTACGCTTCCATTCCATATGGAGGAACTCCTCTTTAACTCATTATACTGTCAACCATGAGATTTACAGTTTATGCCAATCCTACGCAAACCTGCCATGGCTGACTCACTCACTGTCTGACATTTTATGGGAAATGAACCCTATGCTGCTCACAACAATGCACAGCTGAGGGGCTGCTGGCAGACTGTGAGGATGGTGTTGGTGCTGCGGGGGAGTGCGGACAGATACATTTGATGAGAAATATCCAGATAAACTTTGTGTCAGAACACTAGATACTGTTATTTGTTCAAAATGATCAGCTGTGTATTTGGCTCTTGCAGTCCGTTTATCTTGTGGGTGGAATTTCCCAAGACGGCACACTCAATTGCTGGTCACTGTACTGTGATTCAGGTTATCTTGGACCATCTCCTCTACCACCTCTGCGTGTTCTGTAGACGCCACAGTGAGATCTGATGGCTAGATGTGCACAGTATTACTGCAGGGTGAGAGAGGGGCTACACGTAGACAAACACAGAGTACAAAAATGGAGGCAGATATCTTGAAGGGATTTATTATTCCCTCTGTTGGATTACTCAAAGTGTGATGCGAGTACCTGAGTGGCTAAGATAGTGGCTGTTAGCAGAGACCTCCTCCTGTGCTTCAAAATAGGAGTGCTGTGGTGGTTTTTCCTGCACAATGGTGGTGTGTTTTTGCCTTTGGACCGTGTCCTTTGTATCCACACAGATCTGCAATAATCTAGCAGGAACACAGTTATGAACAGTGAAGCTGCCATCTTGATCTCTGTTGGGTAAAGCACACCACATGTTAAGTGACCAGACACACATTAAGCAGGAACTGCAGAGTAATTACCACATTGATTAGTGTTCCTACACCGTCAGGCTTTATTTGCACAAAACAGCTTGATTACCAATAAACAGGCTTATTTGTACGTGTTGATATTTCCTTTTGCGAGGAGCTTTAATAGCATCCACGCTCAAATTTCATTTTGTCTTTGTTTTCATGATCAGTCCCGATGGACTGAGATGAAGCCGTGAAATAAAAAAAGGCCCACAAACAAGCCCCAGAGGAGAACTTAAGATTGAAGGCATCCAATTACTACATGTTCCATTCAGCAATGAGCAGTGACAACACAAGTCCCTCATTTGTATCTTTATTTGTTTCTTTTTGTTGATTTGTCTCGCTCTCCTGATTTTTTCATTCTGCGTCAGTGTGAGCCGTGTTGGGAGAATGTCTGGGACAACGGAAATTTTGCAGTAATTCTGGGTTGTTGTCGTGGTCCCGCTCTTTCCTGTCGCCTTTCTCAGGGGCTTCCATCATTTCCAAACAGCTGTCGCTGCAGTCCGTGCCAAGACCTAACCACTACCGACCAATCACTGGCCAACTCTGTGTTTGGATCTGGGCAGCCCTGTTAAATAGCAGCGTTTGCCAATGTGGCTCTCTCACTCTCTGTGTTTCCCTCTCATTCTGTCGTTCTCTTTCTTTCTGTTTCTCCCTCTGGCTAATAAGAATCTTCCTTGCAGTGCAGCCAACAAGATTCAATATGCATCTGCTAGCAGGACCAAAATAATGTTTTTAAACCCCTCAAATCCACCCACCTACAGCAGCGTTCTGCTTTCCTTTAAAAATAGAGCCTATGTCCATTAATATGACTAAGTACTTTAATCAGATCTCGCCAGAGCAGGCCAAGCATATTTTATCTGATGAAAAGATTTGTTGTTAGAAAACCTACTCTCAATAGGCTCCTATTCCATAAACATACTATCACAGATAAAGGCAGAATGACAGAGGGAAACAGGGACAGGGGGAGAGAAAGAAAATAGCTAAAAAGAAGTGAGGATTAATGCAGGAAGCGTGAATTCATTTAGAAGAAGTATGCAGCGGCAATTCTTGGTCAGTGGTGTATGGTGAAGGGAAGAAAATGATTTATGAAACGAAGGGGCTTGATCTGAAGAAATAATTTATTTCACATTTATCAGAGCATCCTTTTCCAGCTTTTGCTCACAGGTGTTCATTACCGAGGGAACCTGACGGGGAGGATATTGTAGATTTGTAACAGTGGGATTTTAAATGTAAAAGCTAAGGTTTGAGGATACACAGTTCTCCACATATAAACCTTTCAGGCTTTATCGTCAGCTTCTCCTTTTCAGCAGGACTTATGAGAGAGAATAAACACTTAGAGATGAAATGATATAGCCCTGCAAAGAAAATTGTTATTTCTTAACCAGGGAAATACTGATTTTTCAATCTTCTCTTGTTGGACTGCTCAAAATCAACCAGAAGGAATGTTACGTGATGGGCGCTATCTTAAATCCTGCATTTCTTTGACGTTAAGCCTTCTGAACGTCAGTTATCAATGGGTCCTACTTGATACTATCGATGTGTCAAGAGATTTTAGGAATAAATTAAGTTACGCTGTTGTGCACTGTGTGTTTATGATTTCTGCTTGATATAACTTCAATCTGAGCATAAACATATTTCATACAGTGGGCTGTGAGTGAAGTTAAATGAGCTATCAGTTTGATTCATGTAATGCTTAAAACATACCCATGTACAATCAAGAGACTTAACCCAATATGTTTGAGCTCTGCCCCTCACTCCGTGCCCACATTGAGCACAGCACAATTAGACAGACATGCCCACAATAACCTTTCAGCATACATTTAGACTGTGCACTTTAGATCCTATAAAATAGGACCCTATTTGTGTAAGGGAGGGGCAGGTAACATGAGTACCCGTGCATAGTTTTTTTTTTTTTCACATATTAACAGCTTTAAGGGGTAATCTGCCACATCCTGCATGTTGTCTTTGCATTTGATCCGTGTGTTGTGTTTCCCCTGGGACTCTTGTAATGACCTGCTTGCTATAGCTCTTTCTCTTTGTTTGCCTGTCTTGTCTGCCTTCACACTGCCAACAGCGAGCCAGCCACTCTATAAGCCAAGGACTGTCCTGATTGCTTATAGACAATAACTCACCGGTATATTCCTGTGATTTAACTCGAGCAGGGAAAAGTAACATCTGTATTTTCAAGACAGGGAAGCTCACACCTGAATGATCACCAGCCTGACTAAAAAACTTAATTAGGGTTTTAACAGGCAGCTTGTTATGGAATGTACAGTATTAACTACTACTACTAATGAACAATAATAATAATAACTTTATTAATATAGCACCTTTAAAAACAGGTGTTTACAAAGTGCTTTGACAGAAAAAGCAAAAGGAGGAACTCAAGACAATAATACAATAAAAATCAACAGTCAGGCCAAACAAAGAGCAGTGTATCCAAAAAAGATGAGACTAAGCGCAGTAGACCCAGTGGAAGCACACACATTGAATAAAGTGAAAACCTATCACCTCCGCTGCCGGGATGGAGCGGAGACGGACCGGACACGCAGCTGGTGGAAGTTGGCCGTAAGGCCGTCTGTGGTGTTGTCTCACGTCACCTCTTGTCTTGGCCAAAACCACCACGTTCGTGCATGTGTGAGAGGAAATAACTCTCTTTGCCAGCAGGTGGCGGTAGTCTGATGTTGCGATACGAGAAAACCATTTTCACACCAATGTCGCACACCACTCGTATTATAGGTAGCCTACTAATCAAGAATGTTTGACAAAAAGTTGAAAATGGCGTTGTCAGCCCTTGGTCTTTTAGTGGAAAAATAAAAGATGAGGCGGAGGCGACAAATATTGAGAAACCGCACTAATGGTGGAAATCACAGATACTACTACAGCATCAGGCTCAAGGGGCTTTTCCGAACCTGTGTCGAGAGCTAGAGATAAATGAAACCCCCGAACAGCCAATCAGAGAGGTTTCTCTCACCGACCACTGACGCTGATTCAACATGTTGAAATGGCCAAAAAAAGGCATACGGATAGCGACGGAGCCGCTCACACAGCAAAAACTAGAGCGACGACCGCTCACTGACGGTCCAACTATAGGACCGATGGCCGACAATTTCCTTGGTGTGTCAGGGCCTTAAGAAAGCAACAGTAAGGTCTCCAAAGGGAGTTAAAGCTATGTTAGACCTCCAGGATGTCCATGTAATTGTGTTAGTTTACTTTACTAGACCAGTTGGCACCAATGACTGTGATATAGTCTGATCTCCTGCCTTCTTTCCTTTTTTCTAGATTGATGAAGTTTCTCACATTGTATCCCATTTATAGTATCTATCCACAGGTATGACTCTATACATTTTAATGTGCATCATACAGACCACCATGAATAAAATGTAAAAAAGAAAGACATTTAAAAATATTCACTTATTCCTAATTTTTCCAAATGGACCCTAAGACATGTTTAACCACATCTCGGGTGCATAATGTTTGCAAATTTATAGAGTGTATATTTGCAACTGTT